CGATCGATCGATCGATCGATTGGTCATCTACTATCATATATCATGATCGATTATATATAATCAACGATCGATCGATCGATCGATTGGTCATCTACCATCATATATCATGATCGATTATATATAATCAACGATGGATCGATCGATCGGTCGATCGATCGACGCGGAAGATGGATCGATCGATCGATCGACGCGGAAGATGGATCGATCGATCGATCGACGTTTCACTCGAGAGATGGATGGATGGATCGATCGATCGATCGACGTTGACTGGAGAGATGGATGGATCTCGATCCGTTGCGTATTTGTTGTTCAAAACCAAAGTGCATGATTTGAGTAATATTGTTATGTATCTTTTTGGAAGTGGGTAAAAGATAACACCTGTCATCAAAATACAACTCCGATCGACGTTGGCGTGAAAGATGAATCGCTCGCCATCTATCACGTGTACCACCAAGCGTGATCCTTCGTGTCATCATGAATAGGTCGATCGATTGATCGATCGATCGATCTACTTATCGATCGATCTTGATTGACTCTGATGATGATAATCCCTCATCATCTATCGCCATCTCCATCTCCATCTCCATCTCCATCTCCATCTCCATCTCCGACGGTTTACTGGGCAGTTCTGTTTGACGATATATATATAGATTCACAGTGTGGCTCATATTTATGTGATGATATATATGTGACGATATCGTCATCTGGGATTGTCTTTTATGGTTTTTGTCCCAGTACGAACGGTTTACAAATGGGGATACCAACTTCTTGATGACGAACAAGGCCATCGGCTGTATATAGATCTGTAATCTGGGATTTCTTTTTCTTGCAGTTAAGAGTTTTGTCGTGGGTGGTCTTGTCCCGTCGTTTGGCCTGTGAAGGAGGGCCGGTGCTTGCATGTGGGACTTGTCATCTAGGATCTGTTTTTGGTGCTGTTGCTTGTTGCCCCCTGTTTTGTTGTATTTGGCTGTTCCCTTCCTCTTCTCTTTGCCTCTTTGCCCTTTGGCTGTGTGCAAGTGGGTCGATATGACACGCGGGGGTGGGGGCAGCCGCCGCTCAACCTACATCCACGTGGGCGGCCTTGTACGCAAGAGGTTCTGAACAGGCGGAGTTGTAAGGAAGAAGATTAAAAATGAATTTGTACCTTTTTGTTTCCTTTTGTTTTTTTTCGCTTTGGCGCTCTGATAATCATGTGACGATATATATACACATATAGTCAAACAGAGCTGCCCGGTAAACCGTAGGCATAGAGGGAGAAGAGGACAATGATCGAGGGGCTGTGACAAACTGTTTCGTCGGACTTTCACCTACCTACTCATCAGGAGGCTGAACCCTCAACAGTCTGCAGAATCCCGTAACTAACTGATTACACCGTAAGTGATAATCCACCTTAACCCCGGTTGTGGTTAAGCATCAACGGCTGCCCGACAACTGATACCCCTCTGAGGTGGTGGGGACCACCAAGCACTGCCCTCAAGGTACCTGTGACGAAAATCAAAGCAGACTATCACTCACCCAACCACCAGATGCAAACTCTACAGACTATCGGTTCACATCCCATCACAAGTCAGGAACATAAAAAACATATATGTATATATACCCTCCTGATGAGTCGGTGAAACTCCGACGAAAGAGTTTGTCACACCCCCTCGTTTGTTGTCCTCTTCTCTGTCCCTCCCTCTCTGCCGACGGTTTATCCTCGGGCAGTTCTGTTTGACGATATATAGGACGATATATGTACAGGTATATGACATATGCATGACTATGAATATATGTGTTATTTACCGGGAAGCGGCTCAGAATTTCCTACACAATTTTTCTTTCCCCCCCCCTCTTCCCCCCCCCGCGGAAGTGTTGGCCGCACCTTCTGGTATTCAGCCGTCTAGGTTTCGTTTCGGGCCGTTTTATGTGATATTTTTGTTGCATTGTTTTTGCTCTAATTTCATTTATTTATATTTAGTTGTAAACCATGAGTTGTTTAAAAAAAAAAACAAAAAAAAAACACGAGTTGAGCGGGTTCCCCGTGCCCAGCCCTATGGACGCACTCGCAAGATGGAGGTGGGTGCCGCTGCGCTTGAAAGCGGAAGGGGGAAGAGGTGTGTGTGTGTGTGTGTGTGTGTGTGTGTGTGTGTGTGTGTGTGTGTGTGTGTATGTGTGTGTGTGTGTAGAATCCCACCGGTATTGTTTTTCGATTGCCAGTAGGTTGGGGTTTATGACCTCTCGGAGTCACCAGTCGTTCGTTTGATTAGCCGGTCGATCATATTGGCGCAGACCAGATCGATCTCCAGTGTTTGTTTGAGTGGCTGATCGACCCTTCTCTGATTATCCGATCGATCATATTGACGGACCAGATCGATCTCCAGTGTTTGTTTGATTGGCTGATCGACCCTTCTCTGATTAGCAGATCGATCATATTGGCGCGGACCAGATCGATCTCCAGTGTTTGTTTGAGTGGCTGATCGACCGTTCTTTTTGATTTGCCGGTCGATCATATTGGCGCGGACCAGAGCGATCTCCAGTGTTTGTTTGATTGGCTGATCGACCCTTCTCTCATTAGCCGATCGATCGTATTGACGGACCAGATCGATCCCCACTGTTTGTTTGATTGGTAGATCGGCCATTGTTTGATTAGACGATCGACCAGATCGATCCCGATTGGTTGTTTGATTGGCTGATCAATCAGATCCATGGACCAGATTGGTCTACCGCCATCCAGGAGGTGGTTTGGAAATGTGTCGATCGACCAGACACAGATGAGACATCGATCGATCGATCGATCACTTACAGTATGTTAAGTCGAGAGATCGACTCTCACGATCCACAGATGACCATGTGAGGTTCTAGTCGATCGATTGATTGGTCGCAAAAGAAGGATTCGCAATGACAGCTCCGACTAATTAGTCTATCGCGACCTTGATTCGATCAATCGATCGCGATCTTCGATCGCGATCTTTGCGACTGTTTTGGGTTTAGGGTTAACGTTGAAAAACGTACCCCAGCAGGGGAAATTTCTGTGTCTTTGGGACTGTTTTGGGTGGGGTAGGGTTGAATAACAAACCCCACCAAACCCCACCAAACCCCACCACGGGAAATGTCAAGTGAGTCAAGGTCAGAATAGTTTAGTCGGTTGGAACAGCGGAATCATAATCCGCATGTCGGGGGCTCGAATCCCTCTTCCGCCAGTCGGCTATCTATGCTTCCTTCAAGCCTATCTATGCTATACGATACGCTTGAGTTCTCCAATTGATGGACGTGGACAGATTGGTCGATAGCGATCGATGGATGGATGTCGACAGATTGGTCGATCGCGATCGATGGAAAAATGTTACAGTCCAAAAGATCGATCGATCTGTTGGAACGCGTTGGCGATCGATCAGACAGCAGGTGCCAACGGATCGATAGATCGATCCATCGATCGGTGATCGTTCCGACGAGTAGGAGGAAGAGGAGGAGGAGGAGGAGGAGGAGGAGGAGGAGGAGGAGGAGGAAGAGGAGGAGGAGGAGGAAGAGGAGGTGGAAGAGGAGGAAGAGGAGGAAGAGGAGGAAGAGGAGAGGATTGGGAAACTCATTGCATAAGAGGAGGAAGAGGAGGAGGAGAGGATTGGGAAACTCATTGCATAGGATGGATGAATCTACCGAGAGCGATCGATCTGTCGGGTGGCGGGGCAATCAGGCGAAAGGACAACAGTCAGGAGGAGGAGGAGGAGGAGGAGGGTGCAATTTGCATGGTAGGTGTCAAAGGACGACTATCTATCTTCGTCAGAACACAACACACCCTCATCGTGAATGTCAACATGCTATGAGTCCATTCGGATGCAGTCATATTGAGGGTGGGTTGTGTGCGGGGGAAGACGGTAGGTGATCCAGGAACACCGAGCTACCTCTTAAACCCAATCAAGCGAATGTAAGAAATACATAAAAATCAGGAAAAAGGAGTATCTTGATTACTGCAGAACCGCCCTCCGACTCTCTCCATGTCTCCATCTCTACCACGATCCGTGGTAAGAGTCAGGCCTCTCTCTCTCTCTCTCTCTCTCTCTCTCTCTCTNCTCTCTCTCTCTCTCTCTCTCTCTCTCCCCCTTGTATACTTCTTCCCTGAACCCTGTCAGCTGACTGCCACATCTTCGATGGCGCCTGGGTGTCTTGATCTCTCTCATTTTCCCACGGCTCCATCTCCTCTACCTCCTCAATCCTTTTCCAAAGATGCTTGGTGTTTCTTTCCCCATTCCTTTTCTCACTCCCCCTTGTGTTCCTTGACGTGGTGGAACATCGCTCAGCTGACCGATCTTTGCCTGACGCTGTGCCTTTCTTGAACAGGAAACGTTGCAGACATGACAAATTGGAAGCAAACAGGCAACAGCACGACACCTCTGTATGATCTGGTCCCATCGACTCCCTTGCTGCAAGAGAGGAGATTTGTGTTCGATCCACAGCAGCAGGTGTTTGATGGCCGCTCTGTCGGTTTTGATGGTCGGCTTGCCCCTTTCAACATGCAGGCAGGAAACTGTGCTGTCCGACCACGACCGCCCAGTTTTGATAGTAGGTTGCCACTTAGTTTCGATGCCAGACCTCCTGGTTTTGTCAATAGCCCGCTTGGGTTTGACACCAAATCCAAACCCCCTGGTTTGGATGGTAGGCCACGTGGTTTGGATGGTAGGCCACCTGGTTTTGGTTTTGCCAGCCGTCTTCCAGGTCTCGGTGCTGGTGCCAGGCCGCCAGGTTTTGATTGCAGACGACCCGGTTTTGACGAGAAGCCTCCTGGATTTGATCAGGGCCCCCCCCCTCGGGGTTTCGCGGCGACGAAGCCACCTGGTTTTGAGGATGCCAAGACGGCTGGGTCTGGTTTTGATATCAACGGCGTTGAGGGGTTTAGTAGCCTTCTTGCCGGATTCAATATCCCCCACCCCCAGCCCGCCGGTTTTGCTGCGCGAGGAAATGCCAGTCTTAACAACCATGCAGCTTCTTCTTTCGATTCGCGCCCATCTGGAGCTGGGTTTTTTGTCAATCGCCAATCTGCACCTTCTGCTTTTGAAAATCGGCTGCTACCTAGTTTCGGCACCCGACTTGCCACCAGCTTGGGGAACCGCTCAGCGGGTTTCGCAGCCAGTCAGGTGGCTGGTTCTGGCTATCAGGAGGCTAGTAGTAGTTGCTTTGCCAATCAAATGGGAGGTTATGGCAGCGGACAACGCGGACTTGATAGCGTACAACTTGTTGGATTTGATAATCAGGTGGCGGGTTTCAGTACTCACGCAGTCCTTTCCAACGCCCACACCCCTGTTCTCGTCGCCAAACAGACAGCTGGTTTGCACAACCAACCCACGGCTGGCTTTAGCAACCAGCCTCTCACCGAAGTCGTTAACCAGCAGCCCCTCACCAGAGTCGTTAACCAGCAGCCCCTCACCAGAGTCATTAACCAGCCCCTCATTAACCAGCCCCTCGCCAGAGTCGTGAACCAGCCCTTTACCAGAGTCGTTAACCAGCCCCTCACCGGTATCGTGAACCAGCGCCTTGCCAGTCTCGAAAACCAGCGCCTTGCTAGTCTTGACAACGAGCAGGCAGTAGGTTTCGGCAATCAAACCTCATTAGAGGAGTGGGGGGTGTTAGAGCAGGCAAGATCCAGGACTGGGAGCTGGTGGTCACAACCAGCTAGTCCCAACAATAAGAGTTGGTTGTCACAACCGGCTGCTAGTTCTAGTGCTGGGGGTTGGTTGTCAGAACCGGCTGCTAGTTCTAGCGCTGGGGGTTGGTTGTCACAACCGGCTGCTAGTTCTAGCAATGGGGGTTGGTTGTCACAACCGGCTGCCAGTTCTAGCGCTGGGGGTTGGTTGTCACAACCGGCTGCTACTTCTGGCAATGGGGGTTGGTTGTCACAACCAGCTGGTCCAACAAATGGACCAAGTGGTTTTGGTAATCCACTGGCCAGTTTTAACAACCGGGAGGACAGATTTGACAACCGACTTGGTGGGTTCAGCAGCCAACTGGGAGGTTTTGAGAACCAACCAGATGGTCTGAACAATCAGCAGACCGGTTCCAGCGGGAAGCTTGGTGGCCCTGCTGATGGTCCCACCATGACTGGTTTCAACAGCCAGCAGGTTACATTTGATGGGCTGCTGTCAGGTTTCAATGGGCCGGTGCCTGGTTTTGCTGCTGGGCGGCCAGCTGTTCCGTGTGGGCGACCTGATGAGTTCAATCTCTGGACGGGAGCTATTGATGACTATCGTTCTGGTGCTTATGGAGGACCAATCCAAGTCGATAGAAACACGACGGCTTTGGACTGCGATGCACTGGGATCTGCAAGTGGGCAGCAAGCAGATGTTGACGGGCAGCCAATGGGGGTTGTCGCTCAGCAGGCGACAGGTTTGAACGGGCGGCGCAGTTTTGATCTGCAAATGACCGACTATCGCGGCCAGGCAGCAAGTCTTAGTGGCCAGATGGCAACGGGTTTAGATCAGCGAGGGCAATGTTATGATGTCCCATCGAAAGTTTTGAGGTGTTTTGATGGCCGGTCAGAAACCTTGAGCTGTCTGACAGCTGCTACGGCAGGATTGGACGGACCAGAAGCTCCTGTGGACATACAGGAGCCAAGTTTTGAGCGGGCTTCGTCAAGTTCACACAATCGGGTAGCAACCGCAGATGAGCAGGGGATGGTCACTGATAACCAGATAGTGAGTTCAGATGGCCTGGCAGAAGGTTTGGATGGCCACCGGGAAAGGTCGGATGTGACACCAGAAGGTTTCGGTGGCCGACCAGCTCGTTTGGATGTTCGACTCGAGGGTTTGGCTGGTCGATCTCCAGGTTTGGATGGTTGGCCAACAGGCTTGGGAGGGCAAGCAGCAGGTTTAGGTGGGCAATCAGCAGGTTTGGGTGGGCAATCAGCAGGTTTGGATTGCCGAGTAGAAGGTTGTTTGGACAATCAACAAGCAGCTTTGGACGGCAAGTTTTCAGGGTTGGGCAGGCAGCCTCCAGGCTTGGGTAACCAACCACCAGGTTTGGACGGTGAGCCGACTCGCCTGGATGGCCGGTCAGCAGATGCAGAAAGTTGTCCAGCAGCAGGTTTCGATGGCAGACCAGGAGCAGCAGATTGTTCAGACCATCAGCGAGCTGGTTTGGATGGCCGGTCGGCAGGAGGGTTAGACAGCCCGCCGCCAGGGCCGAGTGCCCAACCACCAGGTTTGGATGGTAAGCCAACCGGCCTGGATGGCCGGTCGGCAGATGCAGAAAGTTGCCCAGCAGAAGGTTTCAATGGCAGACCAGCAGATTGTTCGGACCATCAACGAGCTGGTTTGGATGGCCTGTCGGCAGGGTTAGACAGCCAGCCACCAGGTTCGAGTGCCCAACCAGCAGGTTTGGATGGTAAGCCAACCGGCCTGGATGGCCGGTCGGCAGATGCAGAAAGTAGCCCAGCACCAGGTTTGGATGGCAGACCAGCAGCTGGTTGTTCGGACCATCAACGAGCTGGTTTGGATGGCCAGTCGGCAGGAGGGTTAGACAGCCAGCCGCCAGGTTCCAGTGCCCAACCAGTAGGTTTGGATGGTAAACCAACCGGCTTGGATGGCCGGTTGGCAGATGCAGAAAGTGGCCCTGCACCAGGTTTGGATGCCAACCTAGCAGGCTTTGAGGGCCAAACATCAGCATTCCATGCACTGCTGTCTGGTGCAAAGCGTGACAGCTTCGTTAACGCTGAGACAGAAGCAAGCAGGAGCAGGAGGAAGAAGCAGCGAAGGGCATCTGCATCTCATCAGATGATGGCTGAAGCTATAGCGGCCAGCCAAAATTTATCGGAAGCAATTGCCAACAGAAGCCGGACCATGTGCGAAGACATCCTGTCAGATCGCGGACGCATTGCTGATGCAATTGGTAATGGCAGCTCACACAGGACGCGCCGTCCAGGTGATCCTGCTACCGTATTGTCGGCGGCGATTAGACAGTCCTCCTCTGAAATAACAGCATCCCTTTATGGCTTTGTGGCTATCCTGGCAAAAACTTGGCAGAGACAGGCCACGGTAGCTCACCAAGAACCCACGCTAGCTGAGCAAGCACCTGGACCCCATGTCCAGCAACCGGTAGCTAAAGGAACTGCTCAGCATCACCAGAGTAATCCATCATCCCATAGCTGCGTCACCATCGACACACCAACTGTTGTGGACGGCGTCAATGCCAAAGGAGTGCCACCCGCTTTGCCCGGCAATCAAGCAGAAGCCAAGTTGGGGGACTGATTGACGTCCCGGGAAGACGAATTGGAGCACCGTGGAAGGCCTTATATCTTCTAATGGCTTGGTCCCTCTGGAAGACGAGTCCAAGGACCGAATGGCACAGCCGGACGACAAGTTGGAAGATTGAGTGATGCCGCCCATGTTCTTCGTTGTAATAAAGCGCTTGTGGAAGTGTGCCCCCTCTTCTTGTCCACCTAAGAAGAGGGAGGGCCAGGGGTCTGGTTTGCGCTGACATCAACGGTTGGCGACGATGTCAGGGTTTAGGGATGGGAGACGGTTGGGCACCCCTCATGTCTCTCAGGTGAGTGTGGCAGAGGGTTGGGGGGTTGGGGGAGGGATACTTCAGGGAGGGATGTGAGGGACTGAGGAGAATGGGTGGGAGGCAAGAGAAGGGCAGAAGTGCAAAAGGTTGTTGTCGATTGCTTTGCGGTAATTGAATGGCATGCTGGGCTGGAGGGTCAGCAACAGTGGCTGGAGATTGAGCCGCATCCTGGGGATGTGCATGCCTTGCGTGTGCATTTAAGGTTGCCACAAAGATTAGAGGATGGACATTGGTGGACAGGGTCAGGAGGATGCATGCGAAGGTTGGGATGAGATTCAGGGGACGAGTGCGCCCTTGCTACCGTGTTTACCCGAATAGAACGCCTGGTCATTATAGCTGTATTTGGCCCACTTTCTGTCCACATACTGTGATAATGACCGGGCGTTCTATTCGGGTGAAGACGGTAGCGGTTGAAGGATGTGTCTGGGTAAAAGATAACATCTCCCACCAGGGGCTAAGCTGTGGAGGAAAGGAAGCCAGCTCTGGCTGGAGGTTTTGGACCTGCTGGTCTCATCATAGGCAATCAGTAGCACTGATGCCAGTGTATTGAGTGTAGCCTGTTCATTACTGCGCTAGTGGACGGAGCCCTGGGTTGAAGTATCTACCTACAGTCTGTCATTTTGTACAGTTTTGAATGTTGTTGTTGCGCAGGTGTGCCAAGGG